CCTATTCTATTGTAACAGACTCTCCCACATATAATAAGTAGTAGTAGTAGTAGCGGTCGCCAGTTGGGGCTCAGTGGTGTTGAGCGAGTCAGTCGATATCGGACATTGAAGTACCAACCATCACAACTAGATTGCTGCGTCATTAACTCTTATTTCAAGTTCCTAACGTTTTGTACGTCGAAGCTAATTTAGGACGACTTATTGAAATACAAGCCACCACTGTGAAAACTATTCTACAACATCTTACTATTAAGAAAAGATTAAATAGTTGCGCCTTCATCATAGATACCAAGTTGAGGAAATATGACGAAAATGAACAAAATGAAGTTTCTGTCTCACTAGGATATATATATATATATATATATATATATATATATATATATATATATATATATAATGGACTCTTCCCGTCGGTTTCGAGGTATGAGGATCTGACAGCTTATTGATTCAGTTATGAAAGTTTATGCGATAATCTTAAGTGGCATTTAAGACCCGCTAGTGATTTACAAAGGAGGCCACATATGGAGCAAGAGTGAGATTGGCTGACCTTTTAGATCTTGCTCTCGCTTCTTGAAGATGATTCAAACAAGCAGATTAAAAATTGCTGAGTCCACTAAAACACGTTGATCTCCAATCTACCTGCTCCAAAGCTAAGCGTTCAAAGGGTGTTATGTGGTAATATATATATATATATATATATATATATATATATATATATATATATATATATATAATAAGAACGAAAATAATATAAATTCTAACGTTCACAGCATTACTTCCAAAGAAGGCTCCATACCAAGAGTACAGCAATAATTATTTATTATCATTTTTACATACGCGTCAGAACAAGAAAGAAGAATGCATCTTTGTAGTGAGCAAGTTGTTTTCGTCCGTATGTAAAAATTATAATATATATATATAGTGGACTCTCCCGTCGTATTCGACGTATGAGGGTCAAGCAGCTCGCTTCATAGAAACCGACAGCCCAGACACCTGCACATATGATTTGATTATAATGGTGAAGGATTTGTGCAGAACCAACCACACTTTTTGAAGGGCTGAATACAGCGACCTGGTGCACTAAGTGCCACAAGGTCTCCAAACATCAACCCTCCGCAGGTTTTGAAATCAGAATTGTCCTTCTCCTAGACCAGTTGCCATCCAAGGCTATAGAATCCTGTCAGTCCTGCTATTTACCCATAGCCCGAGGGAGAAGAAGTGGATTCATATCTTTCTAAATGGCATTGAATTCGACTGCGATTCGAACTCGGCTCTCCGATTCCTCAATCCGAGCTGCTATATATATATATATATATATATATATATATATATATATATAAAATCAATCCTCATTCTTTATTTGATGATGCGTCTTCGATTGTTTCTTGCTTCGCCAACGATTATCTTTTGAAAAAGAGTTGTCCGAAAGAACTCTAAAGATAAAATGATGACGTCCATTTTATTTAAATCTACTTTTTTTTTCTGTGGGTCTTTTATATATATATATATATATATATATATATATATATATATATATATATATATATATATATATATATATATATATGAAATGGATTAAATCCGACAAATATTTCAATATTTTTTTCTGTCTATACGTTTTCTATGGTGGATACACTTATTTGTATAAATGTTCTGTTTTTTAATTTTACGGTATTAATTACATTTACCGACCTGATTGTTCCTGGAATTTCGTAAATTGTATGCGTCCTCCGACGGGAATCGAACCTGTATCCTACACGGAACCGTCATCAAGTTACACCGGAAGTTCTCTGTGATTGACCGATCATAGCACGCCAGGCATAAAAAGTTGCTGGTCAGAGTTAAATCAGACCAGGAAATAATTAAAATAGGAAGATCAACCACTTACGTTACTATGGTTTCAACCACTGAGATTTCGTCAGGGCGTCATATATATATATATATATATTTATGTATATATATATATATATTGATGTGCATACGCCGTAGTGGCGTGGAAAGTGGTAATGACGTGACGAAGATTGAATTGCAGCTGCGTCCGTTGCTCTGAATCCCTCTCTTCCCCACTGAAGCCAGTGAGGATTAATAGAACAGTAGACATGGATCCTTGGTTGCCATCCAATGTATGAAAAGGACAACTCGACATAAAAATATCCTGCCTATAGGAATCGCAGTAGCATCGTCATGAAGTCTTGGTCCTAAATTCAATGGTGGCGTCTGCAGAATTTAAATACAGACATATAATTGTTAAGAAAGCAGAATGAATATCAATTTTTAAAACTTCGGCAATTGCTTACTTACACGCACACACACACACACACACACACACACACACACACACACACACACACACACACACACACATATATATATATATATATATATATATATATATATATATATATATACAATGATTTTAAACGTTATTTTAGTGGGTACTCGTTTATTTATTAAACACTATATTTATTTATCTTCTTCTAACGAATATTCGAGAAATCTTATTAAAGAAAAATACGCGCTCTCCGGCAGGAATCGAACCAGCCCACAGAGACAAATGGTGACGTAGGAAAAGCGTGTTATGACGTAAGCAAGATGTGACGCGCGCATGTTTATGTGTGTATGTGTGTGTATCTGTGTGTGTGTGACGTGTATGCGCGTGTGTGCGTGTTGTATTTATTTTATAAACATTTGCGTACATTATAATTGTTTGATTTATAGATAGTTGCTTTTGTTGCATGAGAATTGCTTTAAAGGCTATGAGTCTGTTTTTTACTGTTTGATTTTACTAGTATTTTGGTATTGTATGTGAGTAGCTGTCTAATGATCCGATGATCCTCATGTTACTTATTAATGTATTGAGCCCATATGATTGTGATCTGCTTTTCTCAAGGATGTACAGACGAGGTTTGCTCAGTCATTTTGCAGAATGTTGTCCTTCCGTAAGATGGAAAGATGGAATTATAAGAAATGGTGAATATATTCATGAAAATTCATGTCAAAAAAAAAGAATTATTTTTTGTTATTAATTAATAAACCGAACGAAATTTCTGATCAGTACATTCATGCGAGTGCATGCGCACACATATACTCATACACACACACACACAGTTCACCTACAAGCATACACTCACGACCAGGGCCGGTGAGTACTACTCCGATCCCCACCCGGCGACTGAGGGAGGTAAGCTAGATTGGGGGAGCCCTAGGCAGTGCTTCATGATCGCCGATATCTTATTAACATTTGCTTTTTTTGCCTACACACACACACACATATATATATATATATATATATATATATATATATATATATTAAATCGATCACAACTGACTATTAAAGGATGAACATTTTTCGCGGATTTTCATATTATTCTCTGTTCTTTGTTCAAATCCATGAAGTAATCGGTTCTATAGTTTTGGATGGCAACTGGTCTACCGCGGAAAGAAATGGCAACCTACTGCGGGTAAAAATCTGCCTCGTCAGTCATGTATCGAAAGATACATGATCGCCTAAGCGTGTATCACTCATGGCACATAAATGACTGATGGAGGAACGGTGAAATAATGGATAGCGGCTTAGATTGAGGAATCGGAGAGCCGAGTTCGAATTCCAGTCGAACCCATTACATTCACTTACGTGCTAATACCCTTGGAAAATGTGTGAATCTTCTTCTTCTTCCCCCAGGCTATGGATAAATGGCAGAACAAAACAGGTTCTATAGCCTTGGATGGCAACTTGTCTACCGCAGAAAGAAATGGCAACCTACTACGGGAAAAAATTTGCCTCGTCAGTCATGTATCACGCATGGCACATAACTGACTGATTGAGGTACGGTGGAGTAATGAATAGCGTCTCGGATTGAGGAATCGGAGAGCCGAGTTGAAATTCCAGTTGAATCCATTACATTCACTTACTCTTGGGAAAGGTATGAATCCTCCTCTTCTCTCCCCAGGATAAGAAGAGAATTTATAAATTCAGTAAATAGCAGGACAGACCGGATTCTATAGCAGAATGAAATGCCAACCTACTGCGGGGAAAATCTGCCTCGTTAGTCATGTATCGAAAGATACATGATCGCCTAAGCGTGTATCACTGACTGAATTTGTTTTGCTCAACCTAAGTTCCAAGAGAATACTATATAAAATTCACTGTTGAAGGTGTTAAAAAATTCTTGAACTTTTTAACAAGAAAAATCTCAAGTTGATATTAAAAATTGCCTAAAACATTGTTGATTTATTTAAGATGGAATGATCTTTCACGCCATGTCTCTAATTTGTATTTAGATACATTGGATTCATTTTCAGTTTTTATAGTTCACCTATATTGCATAAGATCCATTATTGTACATAATTAGGTTATAATAAAAATTGTATTTTATATAAATATTACTTTATGAAAATTGAAATGAAGTAAAATGGAAGTCGTAGCGTATCATAGATTGGGAGCGCACGTGACCCTTGTACCGTCCCTGGATAAACATATGCGTAAGTAAAACTTTCATGTGAAGTAATCCGTCTGGGTTGCGATAGAAGCCATCAGTTACTTACTCGTTACTATGTATGTGTGACTCTATCCTCGGGATATTGAGCACAGTATTCAACAAAATTAACAATCTGTCTATATTTCTGAGATGAGGTATTGTAAGTATTTCTACTATTTGCATTGTTCGGACTGTTCTCATTTTTATTGTCACATTCTCCGTGGACTAAATAAAGAGTTCGGTTCGAAATTACGAATTTGTGTTTAGATACATTGTATTTATTTTCAATATTTCTAGTTGATTGGTCATCTATATTACATATAATCCACATAATTAAGTTACAGTATAAAATGTGTATTTTTATGTGAATACTAACTTACGAAAATTAAGACGTAGTAAAATAGTGACGCGAATCAAATATTCGGATGGTGTATGATAAATTCGGTGGGGGTGTGACAAGACACTTTCCCCGGCCCTGCTCACGACACATGTACTTTACGCGCCTATGGCTGTTGGGAAAATATGAGTACATCGGACACATTCAAGCCAGCAACGCGTTCGTCTCAGTTGCTCAAAGTACGGACATGCGCATGCGCAAACATATCCTGTTGTAAGAGATTAAATAGATAAAAAAAAAAAGGAAGAAAAATCATGGCTGTGATATAACAACTGGAATTTGTGCTTGTTGTTCTCTTTCTCAACATCGCCCACCCCTCCGTGCTTTTTCCGTAGTGTTTCTTTGTGGTCAAAGGAATTAAGCACAAGACGAAAACAACACCAGTTTAGGCTGGGGCTTTGTCGGCTTTTTGTTTGGGCTCCTCTGTCTCGTTTGATGTCAGGTTTAAGGCAAGGGATTAAAAACCAAACACCTTTTGCCTTTTTAGGGATCTTATTCTATTTCACACTCCTTTTTTTTTCTCTCTGTCCGTCTCTTTGTTGTTTTTAATTGTCTTCTTTATTGATTTTTACTTCATATCCGCTTTCATTTCATTGCATCTTTTGACTTAGCCGCACTTTTGACACTTTTGACTCATCAAACTCTTCTTCTCCCCCCCCCACCTCCTACATCTCCTCTTTTTCTTCTTCCTTCTTCTTCTTCTTCTAATTCTTCTTCTTCTTACTTTTTCTTTTTTCTCTTCTTTTTCTTCTTCTTACTTTTTCTTCTTTCTTTTACTTCTTTCTTATTTTTTCTTCTTCTTTTTTCTTCTTATTTTTTTCTCCTTCTTTTCCTTCTTCTTTCTTCTTTTTACTTTTTGTTTTTCTTCTTTCTTTTTCTTTCTTACTCCTTCTTTTTCTTTTTCTTTCTTCTTTCTTTTTCTTCTTCTTTCCCCTCCTCCTCCTCTTCTTCCTTCTTCCTTCTTCTTCTTACTTTTTCTTCTTTCTTTTTCTTAATCCTTCTTCTTCCTTCTTCGTCTTCTTTCTTTTTCTTCTTCTTTCCTCTTCCTCCTCCTCTTCTCCTTCTTCTTACTTTTTCTTTTTCTTCTTTCTTTTTCTTTCTTACTCCTTCTTCTTCCTTCTTCGTCTCCTTTCTTTTTTCTTCTTTCCTCTTCCTCCTCCTCCTCTTCTTCTTCTTCTTCTTCCTTCTTTTTCTTCTTCTTTCTTCCGCCTGTTCTTACTCCTTCTTCTTCTTCTTTGTCTTCTTTCTTTTTCTTCTTCCTTCCTGTTCCTCCTCCTCCTCCTCCTCTTCTTCTTCTTCTTCTTCTTTGTCTTCTTCTTTCCCCCTCCTACTTCTCCTCCCCTTCTTCTTTTTCTTCCTTTGCTTGTTTTATTTTATTCCTTTCATCATTTCGGACCCCCTGTTTTCTTTCGTGTCTCATATTTTTATTGCTGCTTTAGAAATTCGGTGTTTTGTTTTGTACGTTAGTATTTTATCTGCTCCTATGGACCCAACATGTGAGCAACGACGAAATTTTAGATAAAATCGAGACAAAAAAAAAAGGACACTTATAATTAACATCACGAAGAGATAGTACAAGTTTCTAGGGCACATAATGGGAAAAGATGGCTTGGAGAAATTGACACTCACATGATATATTGACAGCAAGGGACACAAATGAAAGCAACACATAACCTACCTAAAGACTTTGTGTAAATGGAAGCTGAAGAAAAGATTTAGGAGAGATAACAAAAAGACAACATTTATTAAGAGCTACAAAGGACAGGAAATTGTGGAGAGCCACGATCCCCAATGTCCAAAAGAGACACGGTACATGTAAACAAAAGGGACACTTATATTTAACATCAGAGAGAGTAAACTGAAATGTCTAGGGCACATAATGAGGAAAGAGGGCTTGGAAAATTTGACACTCACGGGAGATATAAACGGCAAGAGGTTCCTCGACGTGGTGTAATGGTTAGCAAGCTTGTCTCGCTAGAATAATTAGTGAATTCGATCTTCACTGGGTGCTCTATATTTTCGGCCTTGTGCCACATCTAAACTACGCCTAGAAAATCTCCATATTGACAGCAACAGGAACAACCTTAAGCTGCGTATAAACTCCCTAGCGAGCTTGTGTCAATGGATGGCGGAATATCATATTTTTAGCGGTACCTAAAATATTAGAAAACTTTCATTTCCACGGGAACGATATTCGAATAATCCGTTACCTCATCCGGGAACAAATAGCCTGCATCCTGATAGAGAAAGAATTCATTGAATACAAAGAGTATATATAAATAATAGTAAAACAAGGATGTGTTTTCTCGTCGGATTTATTTAAACTACACAGCGAGATGATCCTAATGAAACCTGATATCCTATCAGCGTTTATTATCGGTTCTACAGAAGGATGCTGAGAATATCATGGACTGAACATGTGTGCAATAACGAAGTTTTGCAAATAATGGAAACACAAAGGACACTTATACTTAACACGAGAAAGAGAGAGTTGAAATATATAGGAATGAGGAAAGAAGGCTTGGAGAATTTGACACTCACTTGAGATATTGAAGGCGAGAGATTTTGCGGAAAGCAGTGCATAACGTGCTTAATGCGATTGAGTAAATGGTTGGCAGATCAGGGATTAAGAGAGATAGTAAAAAGATCAAATTTCCTAAGAGCTACAAAGAAAAGGAAATTGTGGAGAGCCATAATCACTCTCGTCCTGAAGGAATACGGCAAACAAGTATTTTATCATTTGTTTTTTCTCGACTTGTTCTTTTGTCTCTTTTTCTAGTTTTTTCCAGTTTACCTTCTAGTTTTTTTTCTTCTTTTTCTACTTCTTCTTCTCCTCCTCCTCCCCTTCTTTTTCCTCTTCTCCCCCTCCTCCATCTTATTCTCCTCCTCCTCCACCTCTTTTTTTTCTTCTCCTCTTCCCCTTCTTTCTCTTCTTCTCCTCCTTCCCTTCTTTCTCTTTTTCTCATCCTCGCCTTTTTTTAGTCTGCTTCTCCTCCTACTCCTCATCTTCTTCTTGTTCTACTTCTCGTCCTCCTCCTCCTTCTTATTCGTTTTCTTCTTCTCCTCCTTCTTCTCCCCTTTTTTCTTCTGCTTCTCCTCCCACTCTTCTTCTTCTTCTCCTTCTCCACTTCTTTATCTTCTACTTCTCTTCCTCCTCCTCCTTCTTTTTCTTCTCCTCCTCCTTCTCCCCTTTTTCTTCTGCTTCTCCTCCCACTCTTCTTCTTCTTCTTCTTCCCAACATCTCTGTTTCCTCTTCTTTCACCCTTCTGTTTCAACCATTGTCCACTTACCACGGACACAATGAGTGTGTTTTTTTCTTTTCCCGCCAGACTTTCACAACATACAAATAGCCCCCAAAGAAAACACGACCACAACATTAACTGCTTTTCCGCTTTTTTTTCCCCCTCTCAATAGAGATGAAGAATGTTTATTCATGAAGACGAAAAACATTAAAAAAAAAATCCATACAGAAAGGGAAAATGCTGAATATGAATGGACTTTATTTTTAGACTCATTACAGGACCAAATCGAGCTGTTGATTCAATTTTCAACTGAAAATATTTTTGACAGTCCGAAATGAGACAGATTTGTCAATCTGAAGCGAGCTTCCATTCAATCGGCGTCCAACAATAATAAATTTCACATGAAATGTATATTTTATTCGGCCTGTTCAAAGTTTCCAATTCAAAACCGGTTTTCGACTGAATATTCAGTAATATTTTTATTAACTGGTTTAAAGATTCGATTTTTGCTTTTATTTATTTATTTTTTTAAGTAAGTTCACTCCAAGCAAGGCAGTAAAGCCACTAAGACACAAGGTGTTGCTGGGTGTGGGAGAATTTAAAAAAAAGATACACTACTGAAAGGCGGAAACAAAGAAAGAGTAATCAGGAGGAAAGCAAATAGTGATTGACATAGCATTTAAATTTTTGAAGATTGAACTTAACTGAAAAACATGCAAGAAAGTCGCACAAGCGAGAAGTGCGAGAAAAGAAACTGTTAGCATAGAACTTACGGCTAGATCTAGCCAGCTCAACTGTAAATTGATGAGATCTCGACGCTCATCTAGTACTGCTCTTAAATTTAAAAAAGTCTGCGTACCCTGGCGAAGAGTTCACCCGAACAATAACCATGAAAGTGTTTATAGAAAAGACACAGAGAGGCAACCTTACAGCGGTGGGTAAGTGGCTGAAGCCGAGTCGCCAGATCAGGACCAATAATATTGCTGATTCTTCTTTGGATCTTATCAAGGATCTCTAAATATATAGAACACCGGATCATATATAGCAGCAATATTCTAAGCATGGGCGAATGGTAGACTTATAGATATGTAAGATAGATTTTGACGAGAAAAATTGTCTTGCCCGACACAGTGAAGCATCTATTCTTATCAGCTGACCTAGCAATGGATTCATTATAGACTTTCCATTTTATGTCAGCTGAGAACCCAAATTTAAATAAATGGGCGCGAGAGGAACTATTTACTCGTCTTTCAATGCAGAAGCAAATAGGAATAAAGAGGATAGATAACACTTGATCTCTAACTTGAAGAAATCATTGTTTTTAAATATCCTTAAATATATAGCAGGAGCTCCGGACCATATGTAGCAGCAATATTCTAAGCATGGACGGATGGTAGACATAGATATGTAAGATAGATTCTGGAGAGAAAAACCGTCTAGCAGAATAAAGTGAACCAACCCTCCTGGCAGCTGATCTAGCAATGCATTCAATATAGTCTTTTCACTTCATGTGAGCCAAGAACGTTAGCCTGATAAGGCGCAATGATTCACTCTTATGGCGGTTAGCATCAGCCATGCCGATGGAAGGCAGAAAGGGGTCTCTCATAGGATTAAGTTTAGTGTTGGAGGCGTTAAAATTAACAAATCATTCTTTGCCCCACTTAGCAACAAACCGAAGACCGTTTTTTTTTACACCAGCCGCCAATTTGACCTAACTGATCAGCCTTAATATCGAAACAGGAGTAAATGGTTATGTCATCAGCATAGATACCAAATTCAGCGCTGATGCCATCGGCAAGGCCATTAAAGAAAACTTAAAACAAAGTAGGACCAAGAATATATCCCTGGGTGGGGCACACCTGCATTAGTACAAAAGGATCTAG